AACAGATACACACACACACACATACACACACACACATACACACATACATACACATATATAGACATTGCTTTTATTTCATCATAATCTGCCATCAATTTGTTTCAAAAGAAAATGATGAAGTATAAAAGTATTTGATGTAATAGCTCCCTGAATTAACTATATATTATTTATTATATCAAAAAAAAGGAAGGGAAAGAAAAATAGGGAAATTTTTTTTAATGTTTTTTTTCATTTTATCGAAATGAATACATAGTTAGTAGTTTCATAGAAGAACGACGAGGTAGTAGAAGTAGTAGTGGAAGTAGTTAGGAGTAATAGTTATGACAGTAGTAGTAGTAGTTTTTTAGTAGTAATAGTAATAGTAATAGTTACAGTAATAGTAAAAAGGAAAAAGAAAATTGAAGACCCAAAAGAGACCCTTTAAAAAAGTATTTTATAGGCATATCATGAAATTATTCATAACCATCATGTCGTAAAATTTATTAAAAAAAGAAAAGAATATATTTAAAATATGATCTTTTCTTCGTTCTTAAATTTCAATTAAAAAATATACATATACATATATATATATATATGTATATATATGTATATAAGATCCCTGCAATAATATGTTTGAATATGATTAAACTATAATATTAGATGTATCATTTAAATAGTGAAATAATGAATAGTAGGCTAAAAATATAGGAAAAAATAATCTAACATAAAATTTTCTGTATTTTATCCATAAAAGATAATTCAACTTAATGAATGAGAAGAAAAATAAGAATGTGTAAAATTGTTATAAGCAATATGATAAAGTAATAGAACAATTTGTTTCAGAAAAGAAAACTGATAGCTTGCTATCTTTAGCTAACTTTGTTTCATCAAAACACCATTTGATGATATAACCAACAATCTATGCTAAATTTTAAAATCTACTCATTAAAAATTTATAAAATGAATTTTTTGAAACAAAAGAACAAAAATTATTTCAAAATGATAACAAAAGAATAGCGATCAATAATAATGATTTTTTTTTTAATAATCATAATTGAGGAAAGTTTTGAAAAACTTCCTGGAAACAAGAATTCTTGTAGTATTATTTTATCTACAGATTATTCATCAATCTCTCTTATACGAGTTTTTCTCTTCATGGATGATTTTTTTCCAATAATAAAATTCATTACATTTCTATTATTATTATTATTATTATTATTATTATTTCACTAAATGATCGGAAAAGACATGATATTTTGTTTTAATTAATCCCTTACATTATCTTTTTAAAATTAATTAAAATTTCGAATTAATTAAAATTTTAAAATTAAAATTCGAACTTTCTTTTTTTTAATTAATTTTGATAAAAAAACTGTCAGGTATTTTCAATGTTTCCTTCAAATAGATACTGCTGTAGTATCTACAAAACATAATGTCTTTGTTCCCATCATTATCGTTAACATAAACTGATCTAAATTATTTCGGAGTAGCAAAAGTAGTTGTAGTAGTAGTAGTAGTAGTAGTAGTAACATTAATGAGTAGTAGCGCAGTAGTAGTGGTAGTTGTAGTAGATGAAATAGATTTAGTAGCACATTTGACTTAAATTCAACAGGTTTGTGACAATTTTGTTGAGCGCCTAATCATTTGGCAAAAAGATTATTCAATAAAAAAGTAAAAGAACTTAGCAATGCAATAAAATTTTACACACCATAAAAAGGTGCCGAAATGCAAAATGAGGCAGGCACCTTAAATGACGACGACGACAACGACAACGACAATGACATGTCCTTGCAGTAAATGGTACGCTTAATCAATGATACAATGGATGAAATCAATGATGCAAAAGTTAATCAATGATGAATGCAATGCATGTAATAATTTAATTTCAAGCTTTTTTAATTCTTGAAGTTTATGATAAATATGATATAAAATTAAGTTAAGCATTTCAAATACTGCTTTAAGTTTGGAAATGAATTAGGATGTAAACAAATATCCGTTAAAATTTAAAAATTTTATAATTAAAAAAATTTTTTGAAATTAAGCAAATTTCTTTTTTTGCCTTTATTTCTCATCTATCAATTAATTTTCATTCTTTTTTTAATCAAAATTAATAAATAAAATTTATAGGAAAAATTTTTTTTGAATGCAAAAAATTTGATTTAATTAAAAGAGATAGGATAGGATAGGATAGGATAGTTAAAGATAATGCAGTATTTCATAGAGCTAACAAATTTCAGTAATGAAATTAATTATTTGATAAGTTAAATTATACCAATTAAATTTGAAATAAATGTGTAGATGGAAAAAGGAGGAAATTCTATACAGTAATAAATGGCAAAGATGTATATTCTCTTAGTAGTGGAAAAGATTGATGGAAATATGAAAAGAGCATTAATAGGATAGTATCAGTAGTAGTAGTAGTTCTAGTGAATCCATTATACTACGAAATTATAAAACTCATCAAGCATGTAATTAGAAAAATATTATGCAAACGAAAAAAACTTTCGAAATTTTAATTAATTAATTTAAGCCTTTTCATTCAATACTATAACAATTTTTCATTTCGTTTAGAAGATAAGATATCCTTAAATTTACTAAAATTCAATCAATAATGATAACTTTAAAATAAACAAATTTTGTAAGCAATTTTCTTTAGTAAAAAAAAAGCTTCAAAAAAATCAAAAAGTTGAAAATATTTCACTAAATAATCTTTTACACCTGTATTATTTATTAATTAATTAAAAAGCACATCTTGTTTTATCGTAATTAAGAAAAAAATTGAAATACAAATGAAGCGAGCAAGAAAAATGCTTTAAATGAGAATCAAATATAACAAAAAAAGAAAATTCGAAGGAATTAATATCTGAATATGAATTGAAATAATTTAGAATGAAAAACAATCAAATTAAATATAAGAATAATGAATTACTGCTATTGTTCAATTTCATCGAATATCCGCGATAACAACATGATTGATTACTCACTCATTGTATCTAATCTTATTTCCTTTACTAGAAAAATTTAAATTTTAATGAAGCAATTAAAATTTTGAGGAAAGCAGTCGGAAGATTTTGTTGTTCATTGTCAATGCACTGGAAAAGCTTCAATAAACATTGTTGTTTACTTCAGTAAACAAAAAAACAAAAAAAAATAAAGGAAATGGAAAATTTAAAACAAAAAAAAAGAAAGGCGTAGAAAATGATGATAGGTACAGTATGATTGAGAGAAACTTGATGGATGATATTTTTGCATGGTATAAATGAAATGATGAATGATTAAAATGAAATGGATGATTTTAGGATAATTTGAATGAAATAAAATCGTCCATATGATGATAATGATGATAGTGTAAAAAAGAAGAAAATGATAATTGCTATTTAAAATTTTGAATAGTTTCAAATTTTCCAAAATTAATTAATCCTTTTTTTTTGTTTGTTGCTTTTTTTTAAATAACTTTTTGGATAGAACAGAAACTCATACAATGTGAGGAGATCACGACGCGAAAACAAAAATAATAGCTAAATTTAGCATATTTTGATGTTTTACAACTTCAAAATTAATGATAACACTGAAATGAAAGTTATAACTTCAACATTGTGCATTTATTAATTTTTTAATTTGAAATGAAATTTGATAATTGAAATAAGCAGCTGAGAAGATAATTTACATCGATGGGGTTATGAAATTATCGAAGTGTGAGCATCGAAATATGCCATAATTGTAGTTAATGATGCATCAATAATGTTAATCATTATGATGCTAGTATCAGCTCATGCTTTATTTCAATTTTCTTTTTTTCACATTCAATTCTCATATCCTTATCATCCTTATCATGTAGTAATTTTAAATAAACGATATCAAAAATTTAGATTATTACCAACTGATTTATCATTTATAAGTTTGATAAAAGTTAAACATGAGCTGATACCTTGAGCAAATCGACTTCGTGATATCCTATCCAAACACAGAATACACATTGTTTAGAGAATACTGTTCATGTGTTGCGCTTGTTTTTTTCAGCTTGCATTATCATAAATAATTTTAACGGAAATAATGAAATGAAGAAAATTTTTTTGAAGAGGCATATAAAATTGAAAATTAACCAATACATTATTTTGCTGCTTATATGATGAGTAAGGTTAGAGAGTAATTAGATGAAAAACAAAATAATGAGAATCAAAAAAACAAGTTTTCAAATAATAAAGGTTATAGTGTAATTTGCGACAGATTTACGATAGCTGCTATTTAGAATTTCCATTTCTCTTTCCTAATTCAATCAAATAAGGCTCTTCTTTGATCACTGAATTAAGATCCGATAATAGAGCAAAAGTATTATGATTTTATATAAATTATTTCCTGATACAGATTATAAATTAAACTTTCATTATATATTTTTCTCCATCTTTTTGAGAATAATTTCAAGCTTTCAGTGAATTAATAAAATTATATTAAATGATTGAAATGAATTGTAATGGATTTTCTAAAACTTTATATGTTAATGAATATTTGCTGCAAATATCAATTTAAATCGAAATACCTAATAAATGTTGAAAACTTGTTGAATAACAAGAAATTACAAAAAAGAGTACAATCTTCATGAAAAGTAAAAATTCGAAAAAAAATCAATAATTTTAATAACAATAAAAAATTATTTAAACTTATAAAATATTTTGTTAATGAATGAACGAATATAGAAAGGTGATAAAATGATAATTATATCAAAATAACAACAAAATATATTTCCTTAATTGTTGATTTATGCATATTTGGATAATAAGGTTGTTTTCAGCCATTTTATGTAATGTGTATTTATGCGTAAATTTTGGGTGTCTAAAAAAAAAGTTTAGATTTTTCAAAATTTTCATCAAAAAAGAAAAAGGTAAATAAGTGATGAAACAAATAAACAAACAAACAAACAATGAAGATAGAAAGAGAAAAAAAGAGAGAGAGAAGAGAAAAAAGAATGAGAGAGAAGATTGTTTTGTCTGGTTCACCTGAGCCTTAAGTCATAATGTGCCAAATTATTGATCACCATTACCACTACTATTATTACTACTACTATTACTACTATTACTACTACTACTACTACTGCCACCACCACCACTACCACCCGTTTGTGTGCCGTCACAATCGACGGGTCGGAATGTGCAATCGGCTTGTTGGCAGCGCACCTGTTGGTGCTGTGGACAGCGACGTCCTGCAGAGGTAAAAGTTGTTAGCGCCCAATCTTGCTGCAAAAAATATTAACTTTTTTAAAATACTATAAAGTACAAAGATAGGAGTAAAAAAGGAAAAAAGACAAAGAATAAAATTACTGCAAAAATATTAAAATCCTGAAAGTACTAATGCAATGCCTAGAAATATGCAATATGGAAATATATTGCTAACATTCCCAAAATACGATCGAATCCTCATCACATCCATCTATTAAACCTAATTGATATTGACTGAAGAAAAGTGGGAATGTAATAGGATACATGATAAAAGATATCTAAGCTCAGTAAAGGAAACCACAAAATGCATCAGACAAATTTCAGCTAAATTTAGGATGCGCAAACCAATCAGATCATTGTAATCACATAAATCATAATTAGATCACATTTATCTAATCGCTAATGAGAAGAAAATTTCATATATGACGAAAAAATTGAAACTTTAAAAAATGGATGGATAGTTTCAAGGATTTGAAACAACAAAATTCAACAAAATAAAGCGCTTACTTTTCGTTTTTCGATATCTTTATCACTATTACCCATTGCTGAATCGACAAATTCTTGAGATCCAATGCCGCAAACATTGCTTACCACTAAGCGCTACAATAAAAATAATGAAAGGATATTTATTCAGAATAAAATTTCATAATTTTCATCAATTTTAAAAATGTTTATTTTCAAGTCTTATTTTCGGTATCATATTAAATGATCAATAAATCAGGTAAGTCAATTCATCATTCTATCTCTTTCACTGATTTATGTTGCTGAACTATCTCATATCGCAATTTATATTTATCTATTTATTTATATTACCATATCTAGTACAAAACAATGGTGGGATTATCAATGAAATTTATTCTCAAATCTAAACAGATAAAGAATTATTCCAATTTTGAGAAAGAATTAAAAGATTACAGCCGTTCAATATATACTGCCTCGAGAGGAAAAAAACTTGAATAAAATTTAATTTTATTGATTTCATTGTAATTTCGAAATTTATAATTTTAACTCATAAATTTATCACTGTTGATATGAGTTGATTTAACCAACCTCTCGCATTTTTTCGAAATCCAACGAAGGTCGACCGCTACTAATCATACGGCCACGTTTTAATGGATGCGTAGGCAATGCATCTAATTCATTAGCATAATCTGCTTTGTTCGACTGCTGATGATTGTGATAGTTGGCTGTTGTAGAAGCTAGTGAGGAACGACGAACGCTAGGATTGTGAATAATCACTTTGACCGGTTGTCGACGTGCCGCAACAAGTGTCTCACGTGTACTATCACCATTACCACTATCTAATACAATATTCTTCTGTATCTTATATCCCAATAAATTAATTCATATCAATATTCTAATTTACATATCATTTCCTTGTATTCATGAAATGTTTTTTCAAATGCAGAAAAAAGAAAAACTAGTGGATATTTTGTAGCAGAACCAGAATATTTAGTAAAACAAACTAAATGTATTCAATCATATATATATATATATATATAAAGCAATAAGCGATAACTATTAGGATAAAGTTTCCCGTATCATTCAAGATACGATAAGTCATTTAATAATTGTAATGTAAGCATGAGCGCATAAATAAGCGAATGTGTTGATTCCTTTTGCATAGATCTCTTTGAATGAAGCATACAAATAAATACCAGTTGTCACATCTTTCCGCTTTCAAAAGATGGGACATATATAAAATTAACATATTAAAACAGGAATAACAAATAATTTCCTCCTTCTAACCCGCCGCTATACGATGGGAAACACTCATTAACTTCTCTTTTACTGACAATTTCCGCTTTTGAACGAACGATCGTTGTTTAGCAAGTTAAATTTGTTTACATTTTATTTGCAAAAAAAAAATTTTAAACAACTATATTACGTCAATGATTCAACCAAAATAAAGTAATAACTTACTATTATAACTACGAAGTCGTGTAGCTATTGGAGAGGATGGTGATTTAGGAGTTTCACGAGCAAAACGAAATTTTGATGCGATACTTTCGTAACGACGTTTCTCACCAATTATTCCATGAGTTACTACTGGTTGTTGTAATTGTTGAAGATGATTATGATTGCTAAGTACTAAATCAAATGCAATATTTTTGTTAATCATCATCATCTCAGAATCCTAAAATAAAATTCAAAATTAGTATAATATTGATATATTAATATTGAAGTTATAAATGTTAAATTTTATGAAATTTTAGAAATATAAAATATTCTTTTACCAATAATTCACTATACATTCCTCTCACTCTTTCACTTGTGATATGATCATTAACAAATAATTTTTCAAACAGTCCAGTTTTTCAGGATTTCAAACTTAGGCAATTTCGGCTATGATGGATAAAAAATTGATAATAAAGTAAAATTGATAGAGAAAATAAGAATTACTTCCATATAAATTAACAAATTGTAGTATTTTTTAATCCTTTTTATCTCTATTCTCCTCTTTAACAACGCTTACTTCTTACATATTGCTTGAAAATATTTTTCTTTCTGCTAAATTTGGATGATTCGTTTGTTGTAATAAAGAAAAAACAATACGTTTTTATATGGAAATTTATATAAATAGAAAATAAGCAAATTAAGTAATTAATTATTGTTAATTAGTTCTTTTATTACTTTATTTTAAAGGCAGAAAATTAGAATAAAAGAATATTTATCAGAAAAAAACAGTGATGAATATAGAAGACGGATGAGAAAAACCGCTTCATAAATTTCTATGTCCTAATTTTATTTCATAATCCGATTAGTGATATTTCCTACTGTAATAATGGAAACGTTGGAAACGTTTAAATGCAATATGAAACTCGCCTCTATTAGTCATTGCTATCAATTAGATGATCCATTTCCTTGAAAACTTACTTCTTTATACCTACCTAATTTTGCAACTAATATCTCTTTACAATTAATACCTTTCAATCATAAAGTAATCAGTGAATCTAATATCTAATCACAATGTGATAATGTGATAACAGTTATTTTCTTCTAAATAAAATAGACATAATGAGTTATGATGAAGAAATAGCGAAAAGAAATGAAATTCACATAGACAGACTGAAACGGAAAAGAGAAAAACATTTTTGAGCAGTGAAATTTTTTGTCAAAGATAAAATTTTTTATTACCTGCATCACCTATCGGTCGGTGTCTAATTTCGTAAAACTTTTTTTATAAAAGCTAAAAATGGCCGTAATGGTTGAAATACAGGAATAAAATTTGAAATTGAGGAAAGATTTGAAGGACAAACAATAATTAACGATTATGAACGAATGATAAAAAAGAGCTCGACGGTACTATTTTTATAACTTTAAAAATTGAAAGAGACTAAAGGCTAGACAATAGGCTGCCGCTACTGGCAATAACAATCATCAACATCATGTCATTTCTATTGGAAAAAAAAATGAAAATGAAAATTATCAAAAATTGCTTTAGAAAAGCTTCATGACTAATAGTAAGTTGATTAATGATACACGATTATAAATTATAATGATAAATCTTGTAAGAATCATGATTGATAAGTTAAGTCAAAAGTACAAAAATTTTAGACTTAATGTATGTATATATATCATCGATCATATACCACAATGTGATGAATTTCGCATTGTTGATTGCAATGAAAAAAGAATCATAACCTGAATAAGTTTGAATGATATGGAATTGATGATTTAGGACATGATTCAGTGGGAGATACGATGAAAGGGTAAGGGAAATATTTGACATGTTCAGGATTCATTATAATAATAGTTAAGTTATTCGGATCACATGAAGCATTCATTCTTCGATAATAATTTAACAAAGAAAGCTTAAAAAGTTAGCATAAAAGGTGTATATATCATCGATCATTTACCACTAATGTGATATACAGTGATAAGCAAAAATAATTTAACATGATAATAAAAATTAAAATTTTTGAAAGAAATTTGCGGTATATTTGAGAGAACAAATTCTAATTTTTCAAATCTAAAATTATCTTTAAAATTTTCGGTCATCTCAAAGCTTTTCTTTCTTCTTCTTTTTTCCCTTCAAATTATTTTTCACCAAATTTCATACCAATCAGTCAGTCAGCCGAGGCTACTTTATACTTTCACGATGAGAGATGGATGACATTTTGTGTTCAATGGCAATTTTAAAGCGGATGATGATTGCAGAATAAACAGGATATATATTTTCCAGAATGGTATGTCAATTGTCACAAAATGTAACCATTCAACTTATTCATTACCATTCAAACCACTATCCAACCACCACCTGCTGCGCATAATTTACAAGAACTTTTATAGGTAATAAAAAGAAAAAGGACAGCGATAGAATCGAAGTATAAGGCGGAAAGATGAGAGATAAAATTATAACAATGTATATGTGTCTTTAGTGAATCAAATTTTGATTTCCTAAAACACAATACATATGAATCATATTTCAATTTGTAATAGGACTCTCGAGGAGAACTTCTCAGAAAGAAGGATGAGAAGAAGGATTATGAACTATCTTTACTTCTCAATTTTTCAAATGGTACCGATATTATGATATAATATTAAAGGTTTGATCTTACCGCAGAAAAATTTTGAAATTAATTTAATTAAAAAAATTTATATATGACTGAAAAACAACATTATCTCATGTTGATCAAAATTTCTCATATAGCAATACACACACACACACACACACACACACACACACACACGCACACACATACACACACACGCACACACATACACACACACGCACACACATACATATTTCAACCATATTTCAACTCTGTTGCAAAATATAAATAATAAAGAAAATAAGAAAGATAACAAAAGAGGAAAAACAATCCGTATTAAAGTTTTACTCACCTGATTCGATTCATTCTGAATGTAACGTCTTCTGGTAACTGGACGGAATGCACCCGTTTCAGCTTTCCCTGAGTCAGTATTGCTACATCCATTTGTACTTATAATACCCTCATTAATTTTATCCGCATTTATCAAAGACATTGTTGCTGTTGTTGTGACACTAAAAATTAGGAAAATTTTAAAAATTTTCATACAAAAAAAATTTCTTGTAAGGCCATTCCATAATTTCAACGTATCGGCAAAAATTTAAATGAAATGAAAATTTTCATCAATTTTAATATTCGTTCGTTGAAATTCGTTGAAAAATTAATAATAATTTCTAGACACTATTCCTTTAATACTTTCCTTTTCGTTGTTTCATTTTCATAAAAACATGAATTTCAATTAACCCCTTTCATCATTTCTCATTAATTAGAAATATTGTTAATGAAATCTCATATTTTTTATGCCTAAAACTTTTGAAGTTTAATTTTTCATTTATATTCAGGAATTTTTTCAGAATATTGAATCTTATCTTAAAAATTTATTTCATTCAAAAATTTCACCTTCTTTTACATATCCATAAATGAATAGCAAACTTTAACAAAAAACTATTCATTTGCGCATATGTTTACATGAGTTCACCTGATTTCATAGAGTTTCCATGCTTATATCCACTAATGGATAATTAATTAATTCATTATATTTTTTTTTCCCCAAAAAATTTTAACTAAATAAAAATTAACTCAAAATGAAATATTAGCAATTTCTTTGAAATAATTAATGCCTAAGATGTATGTAACAATTTTTTTTGTAATAATTAATTTTACAATTTTATAATTGAATAAATTAATAATAAATAAATAAATTAACAAATATTTTGAAATAATTAATAATTTTATAATAAATAATTTTATAAGGTGTATAAGGTGTATATAACATATATACACATTCAAATAGTACGATAGTAGTAAATAGATTTCGTCAAATATTCTTGTTAAATAGTAAGAGTGATTATAAATATTGTGACCTAAATGATATTTGATGTATTGAGGTAAAATCGACGAGATCACGTATGAATTCCCTTCCCTCTAAATTGTCATATGAAAAAGAGATCGAGAAATGTGAAAGAGGAAAAAATACCTTACCAAGCAATCAAATTTCAACCATCATAATTTATGCGCAGATATCTTTTTCTTTTCTTCCTCAATTCTAATTATAATGCTGCTACAGGCAAAATGATATTTAAAATTTACAAACTTAAGACAAAAAAAATATATATAAGAAATTTAGAAATAGTTTTAATGGAATTCATTAATAACAAAAATAATTGATACATTAGGTGAAATATTCAATTTATTGATTTCTTCTTCCTTTATAATTTCGAAATTTAACTTATTCTTAACTTACTTATACAATAAATATCAATCAATTCATTGCCTAAAATAAATATTAAAAATTAAATTTAATTTCAAATGAATAAAATTCATTAAATTTACTCTTTGCAAAACTAAGACTGCTGAAATTTCTTTTATTCGAAATTATTTTCTCACGTAATTCTATCCCTCTTTAATCTTTTTCATCAATCTCTATTTTAATAATAATTGACTAAACTAAATACAGCAAATGCTTCCTTTCTCCCTTACTTCCTTCCTTTTCAATCATCATTAATGCTCCCTCTCTCTCTCTCTCTCTCTCTCTCTCTCTCTCTCTCTCTCTCAAGGTAGATATGAATGTGGTTTCCGATATAGCACATTGGAAATATGAGTTAAAGCTTATTTGTTAAGAGCTATATTCTTTCAACAAATCATTCGATGGATAAAAGCCTACTTAGCTTCTTAAATTTGATCCAACTATCGATAATATAATACAATGTGATAATTCTAAATTTCAATTAAAGTTAGGCATAAAAAAAAAGGAAAGCTTCATTTTCACTAATCATAAATCATCCATTATGCTTGGAAACTATTCGTGCTACCGTATCTTTTAATATATCTCTATCAATATATCTCATCTTGAATCAAATAAAATAAAAATTTTTCCATTTCAAAGGAAATAAAATAAATTGAGAGAGATATTTCAGTGACAATAACCATTATTTCAAAGTGTATACAGCAGCACACACTAACAATCCAAATTTCACTTTATCAATTAAAAAATAAATTTGCAAAAATTTCAAAATCTCTATTACACCAATAGCATGCTTATTATAATTACAGAAGTTAAAAATTTACAAGTGCATTATTGTTTTTCCGTTAATTATTCGTTATAAGAATTAATAAGCGAAACTTTTTAATGTCTCAATAATGAAAAGTCATTTATTTACTAATTAAAAGTTAGAAGTGTTTAAATTAATTGAAAATGACAATTAATTATGATAAATGCCTAAACAATATTTCAATATTTTCAGCAAAAAATTTGAAAATAATTATTAAAAATGATAATAATGATGATGAAACTTACCAATTAGCACCTCTTATAACTTCATCCAAAATATTATCCTGTGATGCTTCACTGATCTCACTACTTCTATCGTGTAATACGATACCGGATTCACAGCCTGTACTGTCCCAGCTGTAACAAAATTTAAACAATTAAATTTTTAAACAATATCTTTTCTTCTTTGCAAAAATACAATACAAACGAATTAATTTGTCATATTTGAGAAAAATTAAATACAAAAAATTTGCAAAAAATCGATCCCAATTTTAATTCCAAATAAATTCAATTGATGCCAACCATCTTCCAATTCTTAAATCACAATACTTTTCATATTAAATCTTTAATCTTTCTTTTTCTCACTTCATAATTTACTTAATTCAACTGCGTTAAAACATAAATTTGAAAAACTAGAAAGTAGAATCGGTAAACATATGATAATCTTAATTGCTATTAATAGAAATATTGTAATGAAAATTAGTTAATTTCTTATACAGTAGAAATATAGAATTTCATCAGTCACTTTGATAATTCATCATCTAAAAATCATCTAAAAATGAATATAAAGAAGGTAGTATCTTTTTGAAATAGCATTTAAAATTTCTGAATAAGACAATAAACAGAGAATAGAATTAAGGTTAGAAAAAATTAGATGAAAATTAAAAATGAATAAATAAGTTGATAGATTATTACAGCGCTACAAAAAATAAGCAATATTATAAAAAGACAAAAAGAAGTATGGTTGAAATTTCAAACATTTAAATATTACAAAATTGAAAAATAAAGAATTACGAGAGAAGAAATGAAAGCTTGAAATTCTTTTCAGCAAATAAGTAATACTTCACCAACAATAAAAATAATAACATCATAATTTTTGCTATGATTATTTCTTTCAAACATTATCAATTAATCCTACGATATGATGGTCTTCGTTTTGAATATGAAAGTATGATTATTAGAAGAAGTAGACAAGTTGAAATTTAAAAATGAACAAATAAGTCATGCCTCCCTAAAGCACATTAGTAGGATGGAGAAGTAAAAACGAAGAAAATCTTGTTTTCTCATTTTTTGTAGTTGTTGTTGTTGAAAAATGAATATATATATATATTATCAAAGATGATCAATCAGAAGGTTTCAATGAATCAAAAGAATATCATCCAAAATTTATTCATAAAATTGGAAATTTTTTTTTTAAGTGATAAATTTACTGTTAATTTTTATCAAATGAAATGTTAGAAAGAAATGATAAAATATTCAAAGGATATTATAGAAAGTAATGAAAAAGAAAATAAGTAGTATTATATAAAATTAATGAAACAAAACGATGATTAATTAAAAAGAAAAATGAAAGAACAACATATATTTCAAAATCAAAATCAAAAAATAAAATTTTTCGGAATTTATTTTCAACAGGGAAAAAAGTGGCCATTGAAAATTTGTGAGTTACGAAATATTACAAAATGAAGCTATAAAAATTTTTTTCATATAACATGACGATTGAAGGATAATTAAGAATAAAATCATAGAGCTCTTCGCGAATGATAAATAGGTATTTTATTGGTTTGTTAATTTCTAGCAATAGAAAATAATTATATATGTATGTGTGTGTGAGTGTGTGTGTGTGTGTGTGTGTGTATGTGTAGGTTGAATTCAATATATCAGATGAAAAGGTATAGTTTTAATATTACTAAAATTTCTTCCTGAAATATGTAACTGCTTTCCTTTCTTTTTTCTCTCTCTCTCTCTCTCTCTCTCTCACTCTAACATTTAAATATGAATGAATTAAGAAAGAATAAAAATTTTACACCTGTTCAACCTGAATTAATTAACACTATTAAATTTCTTCCTGAAATATCTAACCAATCCCAATAAAACAAAAAAAAACATAACCATAATTTTAATTGATCCGTAGTTTTATGTTCAACAAAACTCAAAGAGGTGAACAAAAAACTTTCCTCTTTCAATTTCATTTATGTAAACATTTGGGCGTGGTTTAAATTCAATTTTAACGAAATGAAAATAAAATTTAGCTATAGTAATATATCAAATAGAAAACGGAATAGCATATAAAAGAAAAGTCGATTTTCGATTTGCAAAAAATTCGACAACTTTTCGTTTATGTGTATCGTCGCATTTGCAAATGAAAAACGGCTGGCACATATACCATTTTGAAATGATATATGAGATGATTTTGTAAGATGAAAGATAATTATGCTTATTCTTTCTTTTCTTATCTCTTCACCAATTAATCATTTTCAATTTTAATGATTAGATAGATTAATTGTTTTAATTTTAAAAATTTATAAAAATAAATACATATATATATATATATAATCATTAAAATATAAATCATAAAATTTTATTTAACATGGAAAAAAAAAGATGTCATCCTATTATATTATTTGTTAAGCGATAAATTGTCAAAGAAAAGATAAAATATGCAAATTAATGAAATAAATAAGTAACGTTAATAAAGTATAATATAATAGCATAATATATAATATATATAATAATAATAACAAAAAGTATAATAAATAAAGTATAATGTAATATAGTTTATGAAATAAATAAGTAACGTTAACAAAGTATAATATAATAGTATAATATATGGCAAAAAGTAAAGAAAGTATAAAAATAAAATAATAAGACGAAGTTCAAACCTTCACAGCTCCACTATTCGCCTCAATATAGATGACGTCTCCAACTTCAATTTTTT